CATCCCAGCCATGGCAGGGAAAGCTCTGCTCCCAGCAACAGCCTTCCTCCCGCCTCGCCATCCTCTTCGCTCCCTTCAACCTCGCTCCTCTTCCTCAGCATCCGCCCCGCAGCTCCTGCCCGTGCCCCGCGTCGCAGGCAGGGCCAGGACAAGGCTCGTCACCGTCCCGCTCCCCCTTCCACCCCCAACATTGCCAATCCACCTCCTGGCCCTTCCGCACCCCACCGTGCCCATCGTGTCCCCCGCCCTGCTGCCACCACGGCCACCTGCCACCGAGCCCTCCCAGTGCAGGGACCGCTGTCCCCACCGTGCCCCACAGCATCCCCTGAGCATGCAGCACCCAGGTCCCCTGGGAGCCCCCAACCCATCGCCCCACACCACTGCACCCCTCGCCCAGGCAACTCCCTGGGGACCACGGGCAAGCGCGCCCTGGGAAAATCCCTTCCCTTCCAGCAGGATTTTCCCGGGACCCCCCCAAACCCGGTGGCGGGCGCTGCCGGATCCCGGCCACACAGCGAGGACCAAAGCACCACACTCCCTCCGGGCATCGTCCCTGCTGGCACGTCACCCCCGTGTCCCCCCCGGAGCCGCTCAGTCCACAGGGAACTCGCAGGGGTTCTGGCGCAAGCGCCGGGCCCCCTCGTAGATGCGCTGGAAGTCCCTGTAGCGGGGGGCACAGCTCAGCCAGGCTTCCCCGAAATGCAGCCACCCGGTGAAGAGGAAGGTGCCGGGCACTCCCTCCGGGCATCGTCCCTGCTGGCACGTCACCCCCGTGTCCCCCCCGGAGCCGCTCAGTCCACAGGGAACTCGCAGGGGTTCTGGCGCAAGCGCCGGGCCCCCTCGTAGATGCGCTGGAAGTCCCTGTAGCGGGGGGCACAGCTCAGCCAGGCTTCCCCGAAATGCAGCCACCCGGTGAAGAGGAAGGTGCCGGGACCCGGCTTGACGCCGCAGCGCAGGGGGGTGCGGATGCTGCCCGCTGGCCGCCTCCCTGCCTGGAAAAGGGGGAACTTCTGGCGGTGGAGGCGGGCAGCGCTCACCCCGATGACCGATTCCTGCAGCTCCGCGTCGTTGGAGACGCTCCGGATGCTGCCGCGGATCACTGCGGGGGGAGGGCAGGGAGGGTATCAGTCTGTCCCCATTCCTGTTCCCATCCCCATCCCTGTTCCCATCCCCATCGCCTTCCCTGTCCTCATCCCCAACTCCATCCCTCTTCCCATCCTCATCCTCATCCTCATTCCTGTCCCCATCCCTGTTCTCATCCCCATTCCCATCCGTGTCCCCATCTCTATTCCCATCTCCATCCCTATTCCCATTCCTATCCCTGTGCTTACCTCATCCCCATTCCTGTCCCTGTCCCCATTTCCATTCCCATCCCCATTCCCGTCCTCATCCATGTTCCCATCCCTGTCCCCATCCCCATCCCTGTCCCCATCTCCATTCCCATCCCCATTACCATCTCCATCCCCATTCCTGTCCCCATCCCTGTCCCTATCCCCATTCCTGTCTCTGTCCCCATCTCCATCTCCATCCCCATTCCAGTCCCATCCCTGTCCTCATCCTCATCCCCATCCCTGTCCCCATCTCCATCCCCATTCCCATCCGCATCCCTGTCCTCATCCTCATCTTCATCCCCGTCCCTGTTCCCATCCCTCTCCCCGTCTCCATCCCATCCCCATCCCCATCCCCATC